CCACCACGACGACTACTACTACTACTTCTACTACTATCACTACTACTACTACTACTACTACTACTACTACTACTACTCCTGCTGCTGCTGCTGCTGCTACTACTACTACTACTGCTACTACTCGCATTACTACTCCTACGACTCCTGCTGCCACAAGCTGCTAGTAGCTGCTTTCTCGTGCCGCTGCGACTGCCTTTACGACGGCGACGACAACTACTGCGACTACGACGCTCCTACTTGTGCATGATCATTGTGCTCATGGCTCCTGCTGTTTTCTGGTGGTCTCCTTAGATGTGGAAGTTGTGGTCTTGCTGCCTGGAGACTCCGTTTGCCTATCGCTGGCGGAGTTATTCTTGTGTTTGTCGGTTCTGGCAGTACCACCGTTCGTGGTGGTGGTGCTAGAGCCGGCATCGGCACTGTTGTTCATGCCATAGTTGTCGTTTGTGCTTGTTCATGTTGTTGTTTGTGGTGGTTCCAGTGCCTAGTGCTCGGGCCATTCTGCAACTCGCCATCATCATCATCATCATCATCATCATCATCACAATCATGGTATGGGGCGTGATCTACGAGCCCGTGACATCTCGACCTGCCTGCGCCCTTTCAGGAGCGAGGTTGAGTCGGAGGCCTCGGGCAGAGTTCTGGCGGGCGACATCACCGTGGAGCCTGGGCTGTGAGCCCGAGGGTGCCAAGGGTGGCGAGAACGTGTGTTGAAACACAGTGAACTATTTCGACCCCATGCACGGCTCTGCTGTTAGAGTGTAGTGCTCGGATGTGTAACTCCACAAACCCATCCTGCTTCATCCCGACTCAAGCTTCTACTGACAGACTTTGTCTCTAAAAGTGTCCTCTGCTAGGAACTTGTGTTTCCACTGCACTTGGATGTAGCAGCTTGGGCCGCCAAGGAGCTCACCTCTGGCAACCTGAGTCTTGTGGTGACAATCCCGGAAGTCTGGCACTTGCTGCAAGTTTCTCTGCAGTCTGCGAGCAGTCGCTTAGGCCCAGTCCGACAAAACAAGCTTGAAGTGTTAAGCCATCCTGATTGTCTGAAAACTCTAGACGTCTATCGTCTCATACCCTCCAGCCTCTAGACTTTCACCACAAGGTATGCTGGACTTCATGTCTGCTTTAGACTTGAGCCCTTGACCAGGCATCCCGCCGCAGAACGTCCGTCTCAGAGCAGATAGAGGCAGTTCCAACTTCCACTACCAGATCCAACTTCCGGCTTCCGCCCCGGCGTTTTTAGGATGCGAAAGGGATGCAGCAGACAGTCGTGCCGTTGTGCATCTCTCAGACTTTAGGATTTCGAGCCGAAGGGTCCGAAAGTCTCTGTTCGTCTCTGTGATGCTGATGTGCTTTATTTGACCTCCCATGATGTGGACATCCTTTATCTGTGCGTTCGTTCTTGTATCCCAGAAATCCTTTGACAGTCTTCGGCCCGGCATGTCTAGCTTCCGATACTACTACATACCGAGACCGAGCTTGACAAGCAAGCAAGGCTGACTTCGTGAAGACAGAGGCGGACATCGGGCAAAGGCAGATCTTTCCGCATATCGAGTGCTGCTTCCCATGGTGTCATTCATGGTCCTGATGACATGGATGATGAGGTGGCATCAGCCTCGCTATGCTCACGGCATTATTGAATCATCTTCTGATCTTTCCTCTGATCTCTGGTCCACATACAGAAGGGGATGCCGTACCTCCGCTAGGGACTCGATAGATCTCCAGATCTCCGAACCGCAGACCGTAGGATGGCGGAAGTTGCCGACCAGACAACGAAAGAGCTCAACGAGGCCCCTGGGGGACTCTGGGGGAGCCAGGTTCGCTCTTTCGCAGCTTCAGCCTCTGCTGGAAATTGGTAGTCTCAGAATACATATACTATAATATAGTCTACTACAATAGGCTACAGTAATACAATATATACTATGTATTGATTGTGTTTACAGTATACTAGATGCCAGCTTTGGGAGTTTGCAGGCAGTGCGTGCTGGTGAGTTTGGCAACTTGACCTTCGAGGTGGTGGATGCTCGGCTAAGCAGCTGTTGAGTTGGCATTATCATATTCTTAACATTATTTTGAGTGATGGTATTATGATTAGTATTTTTAATATTGAATTTCTTAACATTATTGTTAGTAATGGTGTTATGATTAGTGTTGGGAGTTTCTCCACGGCTGTGGTTCTCTCCTTATGAGTCAGCGTCATGCTGCCCAAACTAGCTGTCTCGAAATATCTCTGAATCTGAGGGAACGACAGTTTCCTGGGAGATGCAGAACAAAATGCGACAGGCTGGGTTGACACTGTTGCGGTGAGATGGCGAGGAGCTGTAAGCCCAGCAGCCGTGTCCCTGAAGGTGGCTGGCGCTGCCTCCAGCTCACCTGCCTTCTGGCCGGAACAGTAACGGTAGTAGCTGCTAACTCTCTCTCTCTCTCTCTCTCTCTCTTTGGTGCGAGAGTCGCAGAGATAAGGCTCCGGCACGCCCTCTTGATGTAATCAGCCACTTGGCGATCTATAAGGTTGACTGAAATTGAAAGCTTCATAGGAGTGCTCACATCAGACGGTGGAGGGGAGGTCAGTTAGGGTCGACAGTCAGTGCAAGGTGCAGCTGCCGGCCTTTGGCAACTGTGGTGTCTGTACTTCGTCGGCGTGATTGTGGTTCAACTGTAATTTGTTTTCCCATGCCCTGCGGGCGACGAGTGGGCGGGGACAGTATCTAGGTCCAATCTAGGTGACTGTCAGTTAGCAACGACAGGATGGGTAATTAGCAGTCAGACTATGATGACCCAAGTCTGCATCGGAACGGCGCACGCAGTACCTGCCACACCCGTTCATGTACTGGTGTGGCCACGGTTCACAAGAGATGAAGGCTGTTCTCGAACAAGCCACCTGCGCTTGCCACAGCTTCACAGACTCTAGACCCAGAATTCGGCGAGAATTTGCAGGTGAGGTGTGTGTAGCTGACAGCTCACTGCTACGCAATGGCGCAGGCTTTCATGTACAAGGCAGGGGTCCAGACACTTATTTTCCCGCGTTCGTGTCCCTCTTCCCAGAGACTTGGAGTTTTGGTCAGCATAAGGCTGCTGTTGCATTCTACTCCGCTTTCCGGTTGAGGCTGCAAGAGATGGCTTCAGTGTACAGGTGCGGCAAGCGAATTAGGTCGATGCAAGCTCCGAAGGAGTTGACGTTATTTGGGCTGACCACCGGCCCCAATGGGATCAATCGGACACCCGAAAGATGTGGCGGTGGACCATCCCCGCAACACGGCCGGTCGTCAGGTCAGATCAAATTTGCCCCGATATCCTGGACTTGAGTTTTCGTCCTCGATCCCGGCACTCTGCTGACCATGCTCTACTATACTTTCCGAATTATTCTATACTATTCGATGCAATACTCTATCATACTCTACTATGCTATGATCACCCAATCTGCGGGGCTGCGAGGACCCCAGCTGCTTCGAACCAGGCAGTGGCCGGAGGCTGGGGGTTCACTGCATACCCAAGGTCGAAGGCCGACTTTTACTGTAGATGGCATACAATCTCCTAAACCCCAATCCCTAAACCCGCCTAAACCCCAATCCCTAAACCCTAAACATACCCTAAACCCAAGATCCTGATTGTGCTCGCCCTGCAGTTGGGAGTTCTGCTGCGACCCGTTTACGTCCGGACGTTCTGGGAATCAGGCCGGGGCTCCAATAATTCCTATCGGCTATGTCATATATGATAGACTGATAGACAGTGCCAGACTATATCATAGATTCCACAGTATATATCGTGTACTAAAGGTATAATGTTATATACCTTATAACGCATGTAATATTCTATACCATGCAAGACATATGTTATATCATATAGCATAATCTAGATAGACCGCTTCATCCGTGCTGAGATTCTCTGAACCTGGAGGAGTGTTGGCTCTCCTTGGCTATCCAAGAGCAAGGCCCTCGAATCCAGGAGGCACTGGTCATGCCGTGGGCGGTCGTCATTGAGTCCAGAAGACAGGAACAGAGAAGTTTTCCTTGCAGTGGTAGCTTAGCCTATCCAGGTCTGCAGCCAGGTGGTAGAAACATTCATCGCCGTCCAGGGTGACAAGTATGTGTCAGGTGGACTTGGACGCTATGTACATCCGCTGCTGCCACGCTGGCTCGGGTCGGATTCGGTAAAGTGCGCCACGCGATGATCGGTGGGCAAAAACGCGCGTGTGAAGTGCTCTGTGTGGATCATGCCGCTGCATCAGAGCAGGTAGTGCAGAGCCTGAAGCACGAAGGAAACCTGTTAATCCTCTTGCTTGTCGCAGGCTGACCTAACCCTGCCCAAAGTGGCAGCTGTCCTTTTCGACGAGCCCGGTGCCCATTGGTGCCGCGTCTAGGGCAAGACCGGCTTCTGCACCTTACAATAGCACAGCACATAGTGAAGTATAGTAACAGTGCGGTACAGTACAGTAGAGTAGCATGGAGCAGAGCAGAGTAGAGTGGAGTAGAGGAGCAAGAGTGAACGCTAAACCCTATTTCGCCTCTTTCCTAAACCCTAAAACCATTGTAAGATACAGCCCCACAAAGTTGTCGTCCCCCAAGCCTGGCTTCACCTTGGCCCTTCCAGGTTCCATGAGCGAAGCCTTGGCAATGACCTTGCCTTGGCCCTGTGTCTCCACGCCAGGGATGCAAGGCCAAGGCTTTTCAGGGTTTGGGGTTTAGTAGAGGGCTCAGGGTTCTGGTTCTGTAGTCTAGTGTCTGGCCAATTTGAACTTTTCCGCGGATTGTTGGAACGGGATCCTGATGTGCGGTCGTCACGGCCATTATCATCAGCAGCAGCATCTGCATCCTAACAAGTATCCTGACAAAACTAAAAGTCTGGCCATCAGTGCTTCTTGTCTGTGGTTCTGGTTGCTCGGTTCTGAACCTTTTGTTCTGTTAAGCAATATCTCCATGGGCTAAGACACTAACCGCACTAACCAGTACGTGCAGTCGGTGGGCAGTCATTCCAAACTGTGCGCATTCCCATCTCTGCAACATTGGCAGCCATGCCCAGAAGTTCTCCGCGCCAGACTCACCGAAGCCCACAGTTGACAACTCCCGATCTTAAACGAGTCTTAGCCTTCCGAGCCCTAAGCCCTCAAGATAATATGTTTTAAACAGCATAATAGAATCCACTATAAGATATTGCAACATATTTGTATGAGAACTCAGAATGCCCTCCCATACATTTCAAAGTCAAAAGGCGCCGTGCAGATCTCCCTCCACTTCGTTTGCTGGCCATGAGCGCCACATTGAGCCCACGCCTGGCTGAGAGGCGCGAGAGACACGGAGACTCCAAAACCCCTTAATCAAATAAAGGAAGCCGGTATAGTCCTTAATTGAGGGGTTTGGGAGTCTCTAGGGAACTCCTGATTCTCCTGGTCCTCAGGGTTTCTATCCGTAGGGGTTCAGGGTTCAGGGCTAGGATTTTTGTTATCAGGGTTGAGGGTTTGGGCTTTAGGCTGTCCCAAGCCCAATGGGTTCTTCCCTTTGCTTTTACCCTCCTTTTCTGAACTTGTAAACTATAAACCCTAAACCCTCAGAAAAAACAGCCTTAAACTCCTCAACCCCAAAACCCCTGAACCCCCTAAGCCCCTAAACCCCCAAAATCCAGAGTTTGTTCTCTCGCGCCTTCGCTTTGGCGAGTTTGGCCCTCCGCCTCGGTTCGAGCGAGCCGGCGCCGATCCTGCGCAGCGAGGGCAAGCAGCCGGGGGCCAAGAGATCGGTTTAGGTTTTAGGGGTTCAGGGTTTATAGGGCTGTTGGATTTTACCCCAAACCCTGCACTCTTTCGATAGAGACAAACGTGTAGGGTTGGGATTTTAGCGCGGGTTTAGGTTAGAGCAAAACGAGGCAGAGATGGCTGAATTTTGGTGAGGATCTCGTAGAGAAAAGTAGGGTTGTTAGGTGTGGGGCTCCGACATTGGGAGTATGGACAGGGGTTAGTGTGAGCGCACACCGAATATTCCACCGACCGCTCTGGAGTCGCATAGTTCGCTCATGCCCCACTGTTGACACACGTCGAATCCGCCGGAATTCCCGATTCAGGGAAAGTCCCGTTTATTTGGCTTCATTTTGGCTTCGAAATGCTTGAGTCTAGTTCGTGCATGGGGGGAAGCATGCCAAGTAATTATCCATATCTTTGTTTATGTGAAAAATGCGCCGGATCAAACATAATTATACATGTCTACTTCGCTGTGTGTGGTTCTGTATGCAAACCAAAAAGTAGCGGCTCACATCACTGTACGCGCGCGTGTGGCTGTGTGTGCGTGTGGGATCCTTGTTTCTTGCATGTCGATGCATGTTGGATCTATCTTGTCTAGGTTCGACGTGGAGCTGCGCTACACCGGCAGAGATCGACGACTGCTTCGTGCGACGCAAGGCTTCGAAAAGAAGGCAGGATGGGACAGAAACCTATTTGTATTCAGCCTTAATCTCTAGCCTTCGGAGCTGTTGGGTCAAATCGCGCTTCGAACAGGTCTGGTAGTCCGAGTGGTAGTAACCTCGATGTTTCTTACGAAGCCGAAGCAGGGTTTGGATTCTTATATCGGCCAAGATGCGGCTGTTTACAATACAAGCGAAGCCCCAACCCTGAACCCGTATCGTTGGGATGGTCATCATCGCAGTCGCAGGGTTCGAAGCAATAGTAAAGAATGATGTAATGGAGCCTAGTATAGTAAAGTATAGCGTGGTATATTATAAATATGACATTACATTACAATGTATATTGTTGTTTGTGAATACCCAAACAACCAAAAGTAGGTAAAAATAATGGCCCGAAACCCATAAAGGGCGATTATTCTACGTACGATTAGGGTCCAAGTATAGTAGCATAGTCTACTATATTACAGTATAATTTATACTGTATCGCTGTTTGTTCATATAGCATAGCAGCCAAACCAGGCTGACATGGCTGCAGCCGTCACCGAGTCTGCCTGCGAGGCTCGAGCAGGGTCGGCTGACATCCATTTCAACTATGGAAGCGAGTAATTCGCAGTACTACTATTCCTCAAAGTTCCTTGAAAGGGTTTCTTTATGGGTAAGTATAATGGGTGTTTGAGATATTATACATGTTTGATTTAGAGGCCGCTGCAATGAACAATGCTGGTGCCCAGGGCTTCTTGATGTATGTATACTTTAATGTACCACATAACCCCATTCTAACCATCAAGACCTCGATATTACATACACTTGAACGCATATTTTTCGGATCTACGACCCACTGCATATGTTGTTGTTCCGTCTAATCGAACAAAGCATATTATAGTGACATAGTGCACTGGACTGTTAGGCAGGCAGTCGGTCCAAGTTTGGTCGGCGACTGATAGACTTTTCAGGGCCTTTCACAGGTCGAGTTTAGGTTCTAGGGCCTGGGGTGGATGAGAGAAGGGTGTTGGGGTTCAGGTCCAGGAAATTCCTGATAAAGGTCGACCCTCAAACGGTGGTGCAATCCTCTCTTCTGACCAGAGCTGCATTTTCCGTTCAGGCACTGCGATGGAGAAACGAAGAGACAGGAGCACCAGGAGCAGATTGGAGAGCTTTGGGTTCAGGGCTTCGGAGTTTAGGTGGTGAGAAGCCTCAAGAACCCACCAGCACGGAGTGAGGCTCAAGCGTAAGCAGAGACCCGATGACGAAGTATCAGGAGACCTTCACCCAAGCAGCTTGTTTGGTACCCTGAAGTCCTGAATTTTATTCCCCTAGATCAGAAAACCCTCGAAGGAGACGTCTTGTGCTTCCTGCCGGGAGAGCCAGAGCCACTCTTTCCTGTTTGTTAGCTTTCTAAGAGATTTTCCAGAGATTTTGCAGATTTCGGAAGCCTCGTGCAGGCATGTCGGGGGGATGGAGGTGTGCATTTGGAGTTCTGTTCAGATGACAAGCATGTCAGGATCCGCCGATGCAAGAAGCACCTGGAGGCCGAACCTCAATCAGCGTGCTGAGCTGGCCGTGTGTTCTGTCTATGCTCACATGCGTCTCAGACCCTGGCATCTTTTGCAAAGGTTTCCCAACCTGCGAAGATCCAAGCACGCTGATGCTACTGATGCACTCTTCCACCAAAATAGGTGCACACATGTGCTGTCCTTTTTTGTCTGTCTACCCATCCAGAATTACTTGGGTTTAGGTGTCGACATATACACATGCGCATGCACGTGCGTAAAGGATGTGCCTATCAGTCTGATAGATGACAGCAGATTCATGTGTCCACGGAAGGACCGGTTGGCTGCGGAGCAGCAGCGTGCCAAGACCAAGGCCCATACTCAAAAAGAGTCCCTGCCCATGTCCAGCAACGCGATGGCAGCTGTCATGCAACATATGAACCCAAAACCGATTCTGCCTGGTTGTTTGCATGTATTGGAAGTGCGGGGCTCACGCTGGAGGGACACCTTCAGCTGCATGGCGAGGTCAAGAAGAAGCGGCAGCAAGGAACAGCTCGTGGTTTTGGAGCCCCCCCGAAGGCGATGCGGTCTTACGCGCCGTTGCTTTGTGCCAGTTCGGCTGGGGTCTTTGGAGTTTGTGACGAATCGCGCAGAATCGCCCCATCTGTCGGAGCTACTCGTAGAGCCTTGATGCTGAACAAGGAGTTGCTAGGCTTCAAGCAGTCGCTAAACACTCACAGTATCCTGGGCACCGAACTTCACCCTGAACCCGAAACCCTAAAACCCCGAAGCCCCAAGCCTACGAGTGCGAGGCTCCAAGTGCTGCCGAGGTCTCCTTGCCCGGGGCTCGGGAAGCCATCCGCATGTCGTGCCCGTGCGAAGCTGTCCCGAGACGTCGTGCTCTGTTCCCGAGTCGTTTGCGTGTGGACCGTTAGAGCGAGCTTCAGTACAGCGGATTTCTGTGGTTTTCCCCCGAACGCTGGCAGTTCGACTGGCGACTTGTCGAGCTTTTCATGCCAGGGCCAAGCCGATCGATGTTCTCCCACTCCACGGGGCGCTGGATGGCGAGGCAGGTTGCACCCATGAGTCGACATCGGCTGGCACATTGTGTGCACAGCACTTCACCGTTTGGTGGAGTTTTGGGCAGCATCTAGACGGTCACAGGACTGTCCGTACGATCGGCAGATGCGACGAAGATCTGTGGTGGCTTCAAGTGTCATCCGAAACTTCCTACTGGTAGTGCATGAGACTTCAGCGCATCCATTGGCAGGCTCAAGATCTGGCTGTCCGCGCTGGACAGCTTGGAAGGCTGGGCTTCTGCAAGGGAGCTTACAAGTACGGATTACCCTAGAGTGTGAATCTGGGACAGGCGGTGGCGACTGTTGCCTGTTTAGGTCAGTTTTGCCTCTTGACACTGCTCGTGAATCAAGCTTCGTTGTGGGGACTGGTGCTGGCCTTTGCCGACCCCAGCAGGCGACGTGTTATCCTGGCCACCAATGTGGCCGAGGCTTCTATTACTGTGCAAGGTCTGCAGCCGAGATGAGTGTGAAGGTGCTGGGACCAAGATGTACTTCGGTTCTTGGTCTATCGTAGGATAGATTGTGTGGTGTTGTAGGGAAGTGTCTGCTTTAATGTGTTCTAGTCACGAGAGCGCAAGGAATATGCCGGAATATGTGCATCATTTTTCATGTCAGAGATCTGGTGCAAACTCTCCAGGTGTCACTGCTGTGGTGGATACGGGCTTACGGAAGAGGCCCATGGAAAGGGCCGTCAGTCCTGTCAGCGATCGCTTTTATTCTTTATGCTGCGGACAGACCTTCTCTGTATTTGTAGCAGACGCAAAGATGGTTCCATCCGAGCTAACCGCGGAGGTCAGTCTTTGACCGTGCGCGGGGTCTGAACAAGTTGGAGATGGCAAATGCCTCAGTGTTTCAGGGCCGCATGGAGCTTGTGGCCGTGCAAGAAACTTCGCTTAAGGTCCGTGGAAGGCGGAATGCTCTAAGTTGCTGCTTCACTCACTCGAAACCGCTCGTCAATCAGCGATTTGGGCTCAAGATCCTTCAACACTCTCGAGAGCGACGTCATGGCGGGCAAGGGCCTTCTTTCCAACATTGGCATTTGGGTGGCTTGGCCCAACTCTCGTACATGTAATTACCAGCTTTCGGTAACGTCGAGGGTCCTTCATTGCCGGTGTCTCGGTTGTCAGGGCGAGGGTGGGGGTGTCAGTCCAACACACTGTGTTACTCCCGATCGGAGGTGGCCGTCACGCTGGCAACATGGGCGATCTGCTGGCTGGTGGCTGCGCCTGTAAACTGCCACGAAGTGCCTGCGTGCGCTAAGCACTTGCAGAGTTACCCCGGGTACTACCACGTCATCTCGGCGGCAGCTTTGGTGGCCATGCTGGGCCACGAGGTACTGAGCCTCGTCGCCACGTATATGGGTGCCCAGGAGACACAAGCCTTGGTGCCCCACCTCCAAAGCCGCTTTTTGCCCACCCTGCTGCTGGCTGTGATGTTTGGCGTGCTTGCGACGGCCGAGCGCCTCTTCTCGCGGGCCGAGTGGACCGTCGCGCATGTCATGCCGAGTGCAGACGGCCTCACCGCGCCTGGTCGCCCGGTGTACACGATGCAGTACATGGAGTGGGGCATCAATGTCCCGATCATGCTGATCCTGTCCGGCTACTGCACGCTCGGGCGTCCCTTGCGCGAAGTGTCAAGGCCACTCATCGTCACCAATGTGTACGTGATCTTCTGTTGGGTAGCCACTGCAACTGAGAGTGCCTTCCTGAAGTGGTTCCTCATCGTCGTCTCTTTTGTCATGTATGCCTGGGCCTCTTACGACATGCTGAACTGGTGCTCTGCCTACGAGCGCACAGCTCCCGCAGATCTTCCAAGCCGTGGCCTACGACCCTTCCTGTCTTCTGGCCTCGTTGCGCACCTTCTGCTGTATGGCGTGGTCTACATGGCGTCGGTGGTGGGTGTCATGGATGCGCACACGGAACGCAAGTCCTTCTTTGCATTGACCTTCGGAGCCAAGCTCGCCTACAGCGCGGCATTCGTCTTCATCCGAGCAGATGAATACCACAAGACCTTGACCGATGTGCTGCGAAAGGTAAGTGTGAGCAATGTCGGTATGATCAGCATTCTCAGAGGAAGTTTCGACATCATTCTTCCCTGCGTGCTGGATGCAGCCGGCCGCTGCAGGCTGCCCGACAGATACTCGGGCGACATGACGAAGCTGGAGAAGATCCTGGGATATGGTGTGTCCGGTGCAAACCTCAAGGACCTCTTGGCTGGAGAGGATCAGAAGAGCGACTTCTCAGCTTACGTGCGGAATGTGGTGCGCCAGGCTGATTGCCCACAGGCCTTCAATGCCGCAACCCTCTCGACACAGGGAGTGTGGAGCTGTGACTCTGGAGCCATGCCTCCAATCGCTCAGGTGCTGCACAGCAAGATCCAGCAGAAGTCCAAGCAGAAGCTCAACACCACACTCCACCTCTCCGTGGTGCCGCGCTCTGCGCTCAGTTTGGGGAAGGAGAGGCAGCTGGTGGCCGCCTTCCAGATCTCCAGCCCCGAAAGCTTGAACGAGGAGGAGCCTTCTGTAGCCGTGACGAATTTCGAGACATTCAAGGCAGGCCAAAGCTCTGTGGGCACTACTACAAACCCCAGCAGCGAAGAGGGCTCATCCCATGGCATTGTCGCTAACCTCGCCGATCTCACCAAGCTTGGTGCATCGGCGATGCTTGGCAACACCGAGGAGTTCACCGACGAGGCCAGCAACTACTTCGGCCACACACTCACCTCTGACGAGACTTGCCTGAATCTGCGAGGGATGTACAGGTGCAAGAACACTATGTCGCTACTGTTTGAACGACTCCAAGCAAGCCTGCCTAAGCCTAACCCAGAAAACTCGTAAGGTTCGCCGGCTCCTAGTCACAGTCTCTCTGCAAGTTGCACGACTTTCCCACACCTACTCACAGCATAGGCAGCTGCCCAGCCAAGGAGACCATGTCTCACCTGGGCGCCTTTGCGCAGCACCAGGTGGCCGTGGGTGCCGTGGCATTCGATGCACGCATCGTGGGTGTGTGGGAAGGCAACGTTGCCAAGGCCTTGGGTGGCTATCGCCAGCGCATCGAGTTCCTCAATGATTGCTTGCACGCAAACGTCACCGTCATGGGGCAGACTCTCTCAGCCGTCTTCCGCATGGATGCGTCCAAGGGCCACCTGGACATTGAAGTGCTCCCAAGCGGAAGCAGCTGTCCGCCGCCGGCTATCCCCTACATCTTCAAGTTCCAGGACGGCTGCTTGCACCTCTGTGGGCCGGGGACCTCCAGCCTGAAGCGACCACAAGGTTTCGATGGCCCCGGACTCTGCATCATGGAGCGCGTGCAGAAGTTTGTGGAGCCGGCGCCGCGCCCGCAGCGCTCCTTCGCGCCCGAGCTTGAGCCTGACCCGGAGTTCAGCCGCCACACCACCGAAGAGACGAAGTCTCAGGCCTCCCTGCGCTCTGTTACCCGGTCCACACGCCTCAAGGAGGAGCTGAACCAATTGGGACAGGGCCAGATTCCAAAGGCCTACAGTCCAAAAATATTCAGCTGGATTGAAGAACAGCCCGCAGTGGCTGCTTCTGCCTTGGTCGCCATGACTAGTGCTGTCATCGCGCTGCGTAAGTCGCTCTGAGCGTGCGTGGTGCCATGAAGGCAATGCCCAAGTTCCAGTTCCAGAGGTTGAGCCCGGGAGCCCGATTCCGGCTCATTTCCTCTTGCCACAGAGCCTGCTCAAGATCTGCTGCAGCGATTGTCTTGGAACAGTACATCATTGGACTTGAGAATGCCTCCGCAGGCAGCGGGTCTTGTCGCAGGCCTTGTGCTGTTCTCATGCTAAGGGCTAGCCAAGCTTCAGCTTAAGCGTTTACACCATCCCAACAGCCAGTGTTCTCTGTCTCTGGTGCTGTGTCTGAAGGCATGGCCAGCCGAAAGTACCCACGAGTTTCATGCGTCGATGCACGTTGCACTTGTGCAGCATGCGGATGTTCTGTGACGAAGCCTCTGGTGTTGTGGTTAGCCGCATCACCCGGAGGGGACGTCACAGGGCTGTTCCATGTCGAGTTCCTGGGCACACAGAGAGTGTGACACACACAATGCACACCAGCCCAGAGGACTCATGTTTCAAGTTTTCTAAGGACTGCACTTGCCAGCAATCACGAGGCTTCGGGTATGTCTGGCCGGTTCGACAGGTTGTAACTCCACTATACTCGACTCTAGGCTCCACGTTCGGCAAAGACATCCCCGCAGACTTATTTCAAGACAAGTGTGCAACCTTATCCACTGGATTTTCCGATCTGTGTCTCACTGCCGACCCGTTTCAAGAATTCCTTCAGGCAGTGTGGGCACAAGGATGATGTGTCGCAACCACGAGGGACCTATCTGTCCTGTCGGGATCACGTGGCACCGCATCTTTTCGGTCAATCCGGATCTACCGCCCATCAGTTGAAACAATACCGACGAAGCGGAGGTCGGTATGATCGTCGCAGTTGCATTCGGGTAGTTCCCTAAATTGGGGGTCCCTTTTTATTAGGGTCCTTTCTAATGGTGCCGTGCTATTATACTTGGGATTTAAATAGGGACCCTAATTTAGAGAACTACCCATTCGAGGTTGCAGAGGGTGTGCAGCCGCCTGAACCTACGAGGCCGCTGTGTCCGTTGCCTCTGCGGACCAGCGAAGAGGCCGTGCAGGCCCGCGGAGTTCCGAAGCTGCAGAAGGTGATGAGGGCAAGAGCTTGCATGGGCTTAACTTCAATATACACTCCTATACGATAATAATATGAGATAGCAAGCTTAGCAAAACATAGTATGATATATTGCAGGAACCATTTTTACATCATATAACCTATGATTATATTTAGCCCTACCTTGGAGCTCCTCCCGGCCACATCGACATGTCTCGTGGTCAGCTATCACCTGCCAGGACGCCTTCGGCCGGGCCTCTGTCAGCACCTTAGTTGGGGTAACTTCTGGTCGGTGGATTTCATGGGAGTATCTTGAGGCCTTCGTCTTTGGAGTGCCGACGAGAAGCTGCAAGAGGAGGATGCAAGATCCCCAGCACCTCGAAGTCAGAAAACTCTGCTCCTCTTCGTGCCACAAGGCTCCTGCCATTGCAGAGGAGGACCTCACAGGCACAATTTTATCTTTGGCAGCTTCTGGTGCCGGGACCTCAGACCTCCGTTTCTGGGCTCTGGAGGACTTTTTCACATTTTGGAGCCTAGCACTGACCAATACAACTTCTTAGGGCTCCTTACTGACTTGGTACTATATAGTAGTATTACTACCCAAATTCCCAGTCTAGTCTTTGGGGCCCCCATATTTACAATGGAAGCCCGGTGTTCTGGGCTTCGAGCGGAGCTCAGGTGCCTCCTAGCTCGGTGCAATCCTTGCCTTGGTTGGTCGAGAGCTGAGATGCTGAAATTGTGGAGAACTTCTTAATGACAATCATAATAGGAATAACAATAAATAATATTCATGGTTATCATTATAGTAATAATGGAGAAGTCTTGCTTAGGACCCACCACCGCTGGAATCTTTGGACCATGCCGTTGAGGCCTGCGACTGGGGCTAATTGGCTATCTCTTGCATCAAACCCCGGCAAGCGGGGGAGTTCACTAAACCCTAAACACTAAACGCTTCGGGAGCTTGACATCCTCCCGATGCAGGTGCTGACGCTGCTGGGAGCCTTTGAAAACAAAGAGGAGAGGCTTTAGGGTTTAGGTGGTTTAGGGTTCAGGGTGTAGGGTTTTAGAGCACCAAGAAGAGTATACTGAGCAGCTGCAGGGTGCGGCCTGGTCGGATGAAATTACAGGCGTTTCTGTTTGTGTGCCTACAGAAACTCGCGAGGCCTTGTTGGTGCGCATGGTCATAGATTACCAATAATCATAATAACATCGATAGTAATCATGTAATGTTAGTGACAAGGAAAAGATAAAACATGAAGAACACATAAGAAGCTTGTTGTGCCTTTTGACGCAAGGATTCCAAGGCGCTGTCGCCTCATGGCCGTGAGATGGCAAGGTCGATGGGCTGATGTCCTGTTTTGGTTGTGGGAAAAGGTAAGTGGCGGTCAGGCGCGAAACTTCGACGTACTGGCAGGATTGATGGGGGTGTTGCAACTTGCGAGTTCTTTGATTCCAGGGAAAGCCACAAAGGGCTTGGCTTTTGGAGCTTCCTGTAACATGCGTCTCTGTGGAGCTCAGAGAGCAATGAGTCAAGCAGGCTGCCTTTGCATCCGCGCTTGGCCCATCTTGCTCTGAAAGCGCCCACTATTCAGGACATCATGCTGGCCTGGTCGTAAATGCTGTGCGGCTATGCCAGACAGAGAGCAATGGTGCATGGTCATCCCTGGTATTTCTGGCAGGATGATGGGACTGAAGATGCCGACTCCACTGTTGCAGAGCTTTGCGCCCTGCTCGAACAGGCGCGCAGATCATGTGGATGGCAAGTCCTTGCGCAGACGGGCCCTTTTCAAAGCGCTCTCCCATTCTCTCCCTGACGGGAGTTCATGGCATGGTTCGTTGGAATTCAGCATGACTGCTTGATGTGTTTCATTTAAGAAGGTTTCGTCTCGGTATATCTAAATTACAATTGTATTCGGTTACTAGCAGGAGGCCGAATAAGCAGTGTCTCAGTTCTCACTTCCACATGTCTGCAGGACAGAGACACATTGCAGCTCCAGGAGGGGCTTGCGGCATGCAGACCCTTGAAACTCGAAGCTGTAGATCTACACTCGTCGTCTTCTTCGCCAGCTCTGTGTCATGTCTGACCGCCTCGCTGTGGTGGATACTACCAGTGCGCTGCAGATGGGGATCGCGATCTTTGCTAGACAGCGGAAGGCGGCCGTAGTCTAGAGTCTGGGGTGTCACACTACTTGGGCGATCTTCTGCTGGTAGGAGCGTGGCGCCAAAGTCAGCGCCGCGCCTCGCTGTGCCGATGCACGTGTCAGGCTTTCCGTGCTCCGGTTGAATGCGAGCTTCCATTCGCATGCACATTCATGTCATTCCAGGCTGCTGGCTCTCAAGACGAGAGCACTGCCTGATCGTCGGATCCTTGGATTGTTTGGTGTTGTTTGTGTCGACAAGTTCGACAAAGCCCCTTGTGCAGGCTTAGCAAGAAGGTCTGCAGGACGGACAGAGACCAAGCTGAGCGGTTTGCTTGTGACGTAATTCGGATTCTGGGTGCTTGAAGACCAGGCAGGGTGCGAGATAGTAGGGATTTCTTTGAAGCAAGTCCAGTCTACACGATGGCAGAGACCCGAGGTTTGAAGGGCATCCGTGCAATTCCCGGACAGTGCCAGCAAGTGCCCTTCGGCCGTGTCGTTGGGCTCTTGACTCTAGATAGTCTAGGTCTAGGTTGTTCGATACTATATCAAGCGAGTAAGCTTGTGTGTTGTAGGGCTGGTACAATCCCGTCCCCAAAGTACACAATCGCAAAGGGTTAACGAAGTGTGCTGCACTTATGCCCTCAGACTGCAGAAATCGCAATGAGTCCATAGAGTCACACGGACACGTGCATGCAATTTCTTCTCTGTGAAGTATATCCCCGTGTTCCACCTATCAGCTGAACTTCGGCCAGGTGAGTAAGATACCCGCAACCAGACTACGTTGTCTAAGCCGTATGCTTCATTCCGGCTTTTGGTGCCTGTAATCAAAGTGTTTATGTTAAATGTAGGGCAGCGTAAATACTGTGCCGACGTCACGTCTGAACCAAGTGCACTGTAGTGTATGCGCGAGTGTACTCTTGCGATGCGACGATACGATTCAGAAGTGTGTCGCTACAATGAAATGCTCTGCCGTGCAACACAGTGTAACGTAGTGTCAAGGGAGAAGTACATCTACTTGACAATGTTTGGAATATGTTTGGACATCGGCTGTGATGGTAACAAATTCAGTTTTATTCAGACTGTAAACTGGATGCCCGTTTATTGCAGGAACGATGGCGTTCATGATGTTGTGATTCGTGGTGCCACTGTAGTCTGTCTGTCTTTTGCCTCAAGTTGCAGCGTTGCGCTTTTGTTGTTCGACTGTCTTTGCCCTCGTCCTTGTCCTTGTCGTCTTCATCGTCGTCAGTGTATGCATGATGAGATGGCAGCATGGCCTGGGAGAAGGAATAGTAAATTGCACTGGAGGGGTTTGTCGGCCAAGAGGAGACTCTCCAATAATATTAAAATTCATATGAATATTCATATTAACGATAACATGAATATTCATACCAACATTAGCATGCCCTATGCTCGGGATCAAAGTCCGGTTTTGTTGTTGCAGCGCAGTCAGACAGACAGTGGCATCACTCAGAAAGCAGGTACTGCAAAGTGCTGCCCAGCTTCACAAGGTGCCTGTCCGAGCATCCAAGTAATGCCTTCCCCATTTCGTGCGGCTGGGAAGTGACGTGCTATGGGAGATATGCAGAGCAGTTTCCAGCGAGTTGAGCTAGCTTCCACTTTCCTGCAACGTCCGGAAAGTAATTGACAGACTTTCGTCATGCTTGATGTAACAGATGGAAATGCTCTTGCAATGTCACCTTCGGTAATGCAGTCACCATCACCGTTGCGTTTGGATAGACCGTCGTAGTCACAACAACTCACAGTAGCAGCAGGCCTGAGGGGGACTGGATCGTCGTCATCATCATCATGGTCATCATTAGGCAAGGCCGCTAGCCCCCACCTCCTACAAAGGGATCACGAGGACTGAGGAATGATTGCCTGCGTACGAAGATACCGCGTATCGCCGTTAGATTATTACTATGAGACTATGAGTGTGTGGCGGCCGAACCTCACCCAAAGCATTACCATCGTTGGCATCATCCTCTTCACCATCATCCGCTATCACTGGCATTCTTCTCCCTGACGATCTAGCATGCTTCCGAGCCGGGCTCATGCCTCACGCTTACAGCCTAGGAGGTTTGCACGGCCACTTGTATTTCGAGCGTATGGCAGAATTCTCGACTGATGCAGGCCGATTCCAGGTCCATCCCCGGACTATTTTGCAGGGTTCCCTACTTCATATACTGGTAGCATGATACAGACCGAAACGACTAGTGTTTTGAGAGTCGACCCCCCTTTACCAAGCTTCCGAGGAGCTCCCGTCTGCCACCAAAGCCGTGCGCATTCGGGATCCTGGTCCTTTCCTCGCGCTGGCCTACCCAGAAAGGATCGCGAGGCTTGAATCTTGCTGTGAAGCGCAGCCAATCGACAAGAAGTCGTTTGAGTCGAACGAGGCATGTGCCATGCTTTCGTAGGCTTCAGTGCATTCCCTACATTCACCTAGTTTGTACTTCCTGCAATCGTAATTCACCTGAATAACAGATGCCGGCGGAAAGACAAATGGAGAAAGTTTGGCTTAGCGTCGTTAGTAAGCTACTGTGCAGGCGGGTCAAGAACAACCGGTTCCTGCTTCGGGATGGAACGTCCTGTATTGTCGGCCACTTACACCCTAGTCGCCCGGTGATCGGCAAAGTTTGCTTGTGTAGCAGTCGTCAAGGTGCCTGAGTGCCCAAGTCCGAGCTAGGTGAAGGACCCCGTCTTGCAGCAAGAGGACCACAGGGCCTGCGCAGGTTCAGGAAAAGCTAAATGCAGAGTTCCATTGGGTGAACAGCCATCACGAGCGTTTCCCTGATGTTGTTTGACCCAAGAGCTGGGTAAAGAGCGGAACAGTGTTTACGAGCTTCAGACGTCGCGTGCTCCCTTCGAGGAGTTGCTTGCCGTGGGACGCATGTTCAGAACCAACGCGTGATCCCTGGCTCCGGGCGGAATTCAAGTGCTAAGGCGCTCCAGCCTCTAAATCTTAGAGATCGTGCTACTTAATTACCTCCCGGCCAAAGGTTGTATAGGTACCCCAAGCTTGACGGCTTGCAGAGGCCTGGTGTCACTTTTCTAGCTCGTTGTCGTTCGGACAAGACCAACAGTTATGTCTTATGGAAACTTGACTCTATATATATATATATATAATATATAATATATATATATAATATAATATATATATATATACATGTATATATATATATATATGAGCAAAGAGCAAAATACTCCATATCAGAGAGTAATCTTCGGGAGGTCTTTGGACATCATGTCGGCATGAGTCAATGCCAGCTTGTGGAAAACGATAAGGTTAGATATATCTCATCGCAACATTCGGCCAGAACAGGGCTCCCTTTGGTCCGTTGCCCCAAACCCTTTGAACAAGCCAGAATACCCCTTTAGCAAGCCGTATCGCATTCCCGAAAACCCACTTTAGTAAGCCACAACCCTGTTGGGAGCTGTGTCGCTAGTTACTGGCTTAAAGATGCTTATGCCGCTGATGTCCGTTTGATATGTAAAACGATATACTGAACCCCCCAACACGATACTATCAGCACAAAGACCGCTTTCGCGTGAACGAAAATTGCCCATCGCCTATATATATATATATATATACAGAGAGAGAGAGAGAGTGCCCTTCAACCCTGAGACTTTCAGGTGCGCGTTCGCGTGCGAGGGGGTCGGGGGGACGTCCCGGCTTCCTCTGGCCTGCTAGAGAGAGAGAGAGAGAGAGAGAGAGAGAGAGAGAGAGTGCGTCGGAATACAGTTTCTGTAAATTTATTTATTTATTATCATTCTTGTTCTTATTATTGGTAATGGTATTAGTACTAGTAGTAGTATTATGTTTATTATTATTGCTACTATTCTTCTTACTAGTGTTATTATCATTGATTATCAGTGTATGTTGTACGATAATAAGCAAGACTTCAGGTCGTAACACTCGCAGCTCCACTGACCGCTTCAGAGGCCTTTTGCACTGCCTACATCCGGTTCGGCATGATTTCAGGTTCCGTACGCACCGTTTCCATATTGTCTGATTGCCTGAGAGGGTTGCTGATGCTAGATAATCGGGGCCTGAATACTACGAACAGAGTTAGGGTGGATATTATAGAGAGGCGACCAACGCGCTTGCGCTATCAGTTGCAGTTGATGATTGAAGTGATTGGCAGACATGGATTATTTGGCCGGACCCTTCAAACACAGAAGCCGTGGTTCTTTCATATCATGAAGAGTTCAGGGGCATCACACGAGCCAGTACCCGACGTAGACTGCATGTTGAAGCCTATCAGCCCGTTTTTCTGTCACGAACTGATCCGCAACGGCTGCTGAAAGATGTCGTAAGTAAACGGTTCAGGGTTTCAGTGCTGTGCTCGCTCTTTGAAGAGTTTCTTCCGCTAGCTGCATCCAGCCATGGCCACACAGCGCGATCTTTCGCAGCCTGGCTGAGGTAAATGAGATCGTGCTTTGAAAAATGCAGAAAAAAGAAGAAGAAAGTAGGAGAAAGGCAAGAGGAATGAAGTCTGAAGCATGAACGAACAAAGAAAGGAGATCAAACACAAACTACCAGCAGCTCGTTTTGACCGGACTGATCGGGGACTTCCGGTGGTGTAGACTTGCAGAGTCTTGAACCCTGAACCCCAAGCGAGGCCTGCATCGGTGGGCTGTGACTTTGCAGCTTCTTCGTGGCCTTCCGATCACAGCGAACCGGAACCTTGGAGCATATCTGAGAGTTTCCGAGGTCCTCTTCACATGGGATCCTCGTATTCAGGGCTGTTCGCATGAATGGGATACCTTTTGTTCCCATCCTCCTATTTCTCTGAAGCATATCAGGCACCTTCGTGACTGCAAACGTGTGCAATGCCTTGGGTTTAAGGTTTAGGGTTAGGATCCCCTTCCTACAAGCACCCCTGAATCAGGACTCCTAATTGACAGATTCGAAGAGCCTTCCAGTAAGGACTTGCAGTATGCACAATCAGACACCAGCACCGACGAGGGCGAGACCGCCGTGATGAGGTGCATCGTCAAAGATCCGTCAGATGTGGCTTTCAGAAAATTCCGGGGGCCTCATTCGCGGTGCTTACAAGACGGATTCCATTAAAACTGTTATTTGGGGATCCTCGCGGTTTGAACTAGCATACCCGATTTCTGATCTCTGTTCCATGCAGGCTTGTTGGAAGGGCGGGCGCGCTTCGTCCGCCTCCGCGGCTTCGCAACGAGAGCTTCCTTCGCTCAACCTTTGCAAGGACTCAGAAAGTGAGGGATCCCAGCATGAAGCCTAAAATAACCCGAGATACCACTGAATAGTGAGTAACCGCAGCGGACTGCATGCGTGTAGGCATTCGTTGCAGAGCCACAGCAACCTCTACAGAAAATTCCCTGCATCCATGTTCCGGTTTTTCAGACGGACGATAGTTGACACTGGATGGCCTACACCGAAAACCCTGCAGGGCGAAGGAGTTCGGCAGCCAGGCATTGCACGTTGTTTTAGAGCCTCGCCTGAAAGCTAACCTGCCACGGCCTGTCGAAGTGATCGGCCCGAAGGGCCACGAAATATGATTGTTATTGTGTGTTCTTGTATATTCATACACTACATAGATATACACATGAAATCTGATGTCGAGATGAAGCTGCAGGCTTATTTTCCGGCCTTTCGGGGATTTGACTTTCGGTCTGGCAGAACTCTGATTTGGACGGAGCTGAGGACCGCAGGGTGCAGTGGCTTGCCTGACATTTGAGCGATCTGGTTGCCGTTTTGCTTTCACTTTACCACGCGCATCCACCACCCACCCACCCACCCACCCGCCCAGCCACTTTAGTGGCCTTAATGAACAGGCAGGGGGCGGCGGCCGGTGCGCTGTCCTGTGGCGCCTGGGGCGGCTTCTGGGGACTCTGCAACGGCTCCGTCATCGGGTGTTCAGTCACTCGCAAAGAGCTCCGGGGGTCGGACTCGCGGATGATCGGATGGGAGCTCTGGGTACTGTACTGCCTTCGAGTTGCTAGATTCTGGCATGCTTGAGGTTGAAAAGCTTGGAGCACCATGTATGCTCAGGCCAGTTGTTATCTATCATTTGCACCCAGGTGTAGCAGTTCAGGACGTTCGCATCTGCAAGGTCCAGCCCTTCCGAAACCCTAAGGCGGACGGAAAAGAGGTGATAAAACAAAAATAGCCCCAAAGGTTCCTTTTCGCCTGTCAAGTATGACTTCAGGCACTCCGCACAAAAAAGAGAAACCCAAAAGGTTCCAGAAGCACATTTCGGGGTTCCATCCCGCCGAGGTCGGCTTAATGGCAGCTCCCTTCACCCTAGGCTGGGCAGAGTTTGCATGCGTTCATTTGGGTGGGGGAGGTCCACGTAGGATGGGCAGTGTCAGCTTTGCTCCAAAGTCAATACTACTTACGTACTCGTTAGAATAGGGTTTTGGCTAAAATTACCATAACAATACAGGGAGGAAAAGGGCATACTAGTTCTCCGACACCTACATGACTTGTTTTTCTTTGGAGGGGGGTCTGCACCGAAAAGAGAGAGCCACACGAGCAGTAGAACCCTGGTCCCACTAGCTTTCGTGGCCCCTTCTCAAATTTCCGTGATCATCATCCTAGCATTTCTGGCACCCCTGCTTCAAGAATCTCACCGCCTTGTCCTGTGCCAGGCTTTTCGGTCCCAGTTCTTACCTCCATGATGGCCTGGACCGGCCTGGTTGTGGGCCTGCTGGTTGCGGTTCAGAGCTGGAGCTTAGCAGAGCCGTTGAGCTCGAAGCAAAACTTCGCCTCAGAACCAGAGTGAAGATGTAACGATCCCGGCCAGCGCTCGCACACTGCTGCACCAAGACTAGTGCAACGATCGCCATTAGATATGGCACCAAGCAATCGACGTTCGTGCAGGTACACGGATATGAAGAAGAGGAGTGTGGACAGTTAAGACAGCCATGGGAACGACACAACCATCGGCAGCGGGAGCAGCAGCTGCACTGACAGCTGCAAACATCTGGCAGCACCATTCTTCAGAGCATTCAGGGGCAAGCTGTGAGCAGCACTAGCCGCAATGTGAGTATTACTAACGAGCAGCAGAGTAGCTGCGCTCGCCATAACAACGCTGACCACAACGCTGATGGTCAGATCCGAACCTTGTGGGATGTTGTTGTTGCTGGTATCAAGGAGCGATACTCCCGACAGCCATCCCAGCAAGGGAGGTCAGTTTTATGAAGACAGCTGTGCCACCATGAAACCAAAATCACAACATTACTGGTCATGAGATTGGTGATGATGCCGATAGTATCGTTGGTGATTGTATCTCGCAGCCCTCAAACGAGGGGACGCCAAACAACGGCCTCGAGCCTGCTTTGAGGCTCTTCGGCCGGGGTGGGAGCCGGCTTGGTTGGCCCGGCTCTTACTTATTTCGGGTTGGCAGGTTGTGGTTGCTGCTGGTGTCTAGAGGGTCACAGAATGGGTGTGGATTTCAATTTGGGATTCCAGGTATGTGTGGCAGCAGGCGCCGATGTTGATGGATGTGGATGGCGCAACTGAAACTTAGGCAATTTTGAGGGGTTGCCCGTTACGGCTGAACAGGCAACATATACAGCTAGGAAGTGAAAGTATGTCTGTGACCGCTAGTGTTACTACTGATGTTGCTGCGATTACCGCTACTACCACTACTACTACTACTACTACTACTGCTGCTACTACTACTGCTGCTGCTGCTGCTGCTGCTGCTGCTGCTGCTGCTACTACGACGACACAACAACAACAACAACAACAACAACAACAACAACCACAACAACAACCACCACCACGACCACGACCACGACCACGACCACGACCACGACCACGACCACGACCAACAACAACAACAACAAGAACTGCAACTGCAACTGCAACTGCAACTGCAACTGCAACAGCAGCAGCAGCAGCAGCAGCCGCAACGGCAACAGCAACAGCAGCAGCAGCAGCAGCAGCAGCAGCAGCAGCAGCAGCAACAGCAACAGCAACAGCAACAGCAACAGCTGCTGCTGCTGCTGCTGC